CTTGTGTAAGCAAAGGAAGCGTCGGAGCGCATATATGGAGTCCTGATTGCGGTAGGATATCGACATGGTGAGCAATTTTCCGCACGAGACGTTGCACACACATGCATGGCTGCTTCAGCCTGGCGCTCGTTACGCCTCAACATCGAGTCGTCGACATGTGATCTTATGAACACAACCAAAGGACGCAACGCACCATCAGATATTGAGAATAAGCGAAATCTGAACAGCTTGTACACCCTCATTTTTCACATGGACAACCACTTTATGGCAAAACGTGAAGCGTACCTTCAGACGAGTGATTATAACGAAGCCGCTCAAACGAGCGGTCTCACCGAGTAAACGTAGAAACCTGACCCTATGCAGAGCAAGCTTTGCTCCTCAAATTGTCCTCTTTTTCAAAGGCAGCTACGAAGCTCCTCTCTGTACACGTGCACACACCTTTCCCACCCCGCAGGGCGGCATTTCGCCCCGCAACCTACCCTGATAACCGACTCTTGCTCTACGTCAGCTCTGCGCACATTCTATTCTATGCACTCCCCCCTCCGCGTCCCCTGCGACCCGCAGCCGCTGTAGCAGCTCCATGGGTAGACCCACCACGCGTGGCCGCCACATGCTTTTCTGATTCTCCGCCATTACTTGGACCGTATCCAACGGCTGGGGGCCGGCGACGCCGCCCGAAACGGAAGACGGGTTCTCCGCGAGCGGGGACCAAATCTGCAATGTGCGCCAGCTCGATTACGTAAGGTGACGGATCTAGCGCATCTTTGAGGGAGGTCCCTTGCGATGTACGGCAGACGGCGCAGTGGTAAAAGCACGACTACGGCGGGAGAAATCGATGACAAGGGTTAGCAAGATATGATTCGAGACAAGCAGTTGTTTCTTCATTCACTGGTCTAAGATCCGCCGCGGGCAAAGCGATCCCAGGAAGCTTCTTTCAAAGTTGTTCTGCTTCGCTCCCATTCTCATTTGGAAAGCAGTCAGTCTCGTTGACCATGTGGTGAAGTGTGGTACCTCAGACCATTACCTCAATCCTTGGGGTTTTGACACGCTTCTTGATCAAATTCCGATCCAATCCCTTGAACTGCAAAATCCCTCGTGCGCTCCGGCACCCCTCACCTTGATCGTGTCGTCGATCCCGCTCGTCGCGACCGCGCAGTCGTACGGATGCGCCTGCACGCAATTCACCACGTTCTCATCCCCCGCCAGCACCTTCACGAGCTGCCCCGTGCGCGCCTCCCACACGAACCACCGCCCGTCATCGCTTCCGCTCGCGACAAACTCCCCGCCCCCCCCGAGGAAACTCGCCTGCTTGATATCCGTCCCCGTATTACAGTGCCCCACGTAACGCTGCACCATATCGAGCGCGTATTCCTCCGCATCTAGTACTTTCCGCCGCGCGGACTTTGTGTTGTGGGCCTCGCCGGAGGCCTCGTCCAGCCGCTCGCGGCTGCTTTTCCGCCCGCTAGAGCCCGCCGACCCGCCCGACAGGGCCCGCCGGTGCCCCTCGCTCCCGCGGCTCCCCTCGCTTTCCGCGCGCGCTTCGGGACCCATCCTCTCGCCCGTTTGATCCTTACGGCCCCCGTTCCCCCTACCCTCCAAGTCGAGGACCGACACCGGGCTATCCACTAGACCTAGGCTGGCCTGCTGGAAGGGTGACGTCAGCCCGGGGCTAGGTGGCGTCATACCGAAGCCTGGTGACGTCATCTCGGGGTAAGATGACGGCATCGCCGGCACGGGCAAGCTTGCTCCCGGGCCGCCAAGCCGCCGACAACCGGCGCCGGAGTCTTCACTGGTGGTCGACGGGGGGCTCGAGCTGCTGGCAAATTGGAAGTCGCCACGTGGCAGCGTGCCAGGCCCTCGCATGGGAGGGTGGGAGGCCTCCGGGGCTGTGCTGCTACCGAGAAAGTCGCCCTCGAAGCTGGAGTCCATGTTGCCGTCGGATTCTTCGGCCTGTGAAGACAGCGAACCTTTCAGTTTCTAAAGATAAGCACGGTTTGGAGAAGGCTTTGTGCTTGCCTTTTCTGAAGCAGGTTGTGTAAGATGAACCAAATCTGATGAACCGGACAGGCGACAGTCAGATTGTTGGGAAGGACAGGGCGTGGCGAGGCGCTTTTTCAACAAGAGGGCAAGCATTAGGCGTCGACATGCTACTGGGTTCCTGCCACGGGACAATATCGGATACAATGACTTGACTTGCGGAAAAGCCATCGACACGTCTCCCCTGTAATCTCCGTCATTTCAAAACCCCCCCCTGGACCCGTGAAGAGGTACAAAACACCTCGAGAAATTGTGGGAAAAGACCACTACAGCTTCTGCTCCAAGCCAGAGCCGCACCTCGTCACTGAAATCGGGTAAAGATGCGTCTATCTCACATAGCCAAGTAATGAAGTAGTAAATCTTCATAACCTGGGAAAACAGTGCTTCAAAACCTGGAAATGCAGAGACTCCAAAACCTAGAGCACTGGATCTGACAAAAAGATGTCAAATGCTCTACGCACCACGCTCGGCGTGTCTTCCGAGTCGTGCCCACTGCCGCTTTCCTCTCTGTCGTCGTACTCGTCTTCCTCTTCCATTTGGTCAATCGGCCCGTCCTCTCCGACCAGCCAGTCCCGCAAGCGGACACGTGTCCTCATCCCCGAACCGTTCTCGTGGGGGATCCCCTGCTCTCCGTTGTTGCGCTGCCGCCGCCGGCGTTCCTCTGAGGCTGTGCGATGCAAAGCAGATTGCTAGAGTGAGCGGTGGAAAAGAACAGTCAGCTGACAAGAATAGCGAGTTTTCAAACCAAGCGCAACACGGATAAGGATGAAGGGCCGAGTAATAATCGACTGTACGTGAGAAGATGGAGCGGAAGGGGACTGATATGAGCTAATCCTGGTCAGCGTAATATGATGAGATCAAGAGAAACCCCGCAAACTATGACAGCGAGCAGAGGAGCCATTACTGCAACCGTTGATGGAGAAGCGCTCACACAGCATACACGGACAATTTTTCTTTCCCAGCTGGAAACCAAATGAGCCCTTCAAGGCAGATCGCAGAAATCACATGCTGATGAAAGCTCTACACACGCAGCCAACGTATGAGGCCACCTCTCCAGGCAATGAGAGGGGATCTCGAGATCGTGCAAAACGAAACGAAAACACGCTCTAAAGAAGATACGCTGCCAGGCCTGCTCTTCTAAAAGCTATTGTACGCACCTTCCCTAACCCTCCCCGCAGTCAGCACAACCAGCTCCGCTAACCCGGGGTTAGCGGGGTCCAACTGGTGCGCCCGCTCGGCAAACTGCAGCGCCTGCCGGTACCGCTTAAGCTGCAGCAGGGCCTCGGACGTCCGCTGGTGCGCCGGCACGCTGTATGCGTCCATAACCCGTGCGGAGTTGCAGTCGCGCAGGGCCATGTGCGCGTCGTTGCGCCACCCGCGCTTCGTCAGGGCTGCAAAAGGAAGTGGACCGTGCCATTTTGCTCATTTGGTTGCTACCAAAGAAAGGGGTAAATGCCTTTCACGAGTGTATAACAACGGCTACCAAACGGTGTGTTTTGAGCTTGTATGGATTGCACAAGGCCAGGTGCGAATCATTGTGCCCCCCGCGCTTCGTCAGGACTGCGTGAGGGAGTGGCTCATGCGGTGTGGTCATCCGTAACTGCTGGTTGTGGCAGCGTTTCGCACGACTTAACTAAAAGAGGGTTGTTTGAGATTAGCTGAGGTGCGCAGGCCCATGTGTGCAATGTCGCATCACGCCGGATCAAGGCTACCTGTGGGAGTGCTGTGCAGAGCACCAGACGAAAGAAAGGCATCACCCAAACGCGTATGGCACCCCTTTCGGCGCGTAGCAGTCCTTCCGGATGCTGAACTGAATGGGAATTTACAGCGTCATTCGAACAGTTTCACTGGTCTCGCAACACTTCCAAGTCTCGCAATACTTATCACGCAAGAAAGGTCCTGTGCGTGCATGTTTGCATGAAGTTGGGGCCCTGTCAACATACCTGCCGCGCGAGTGCACAGGCAGTCGTGCCTCAGCCCCGGGCCGACGATGCTTGGGCCAAGGCCTTTTCCTTCCAGCACCTCCGATAGCTCCTCGATCACTCGGGTGCAGTTTTCTGGACCGCTCGAGTCGGAGAGGCGCTCACTTGCGGACGCCAGCTTCTGTTCGCAGCGGAGGTACCGCTTCTGCGGGCAGCGGAAAAGGAGGGTTTAGTGGGAGCTCAAAAAAGATTGCCGAAAAAACACGTAAGAGCAGACGGAAAGGTTCAAAGTTATCTCGAGTGTCGATAGACTGTGGGAGCGTGACACACGGCCTGATAACGAGGCTGAGCAAATCCAAAGGGAGTACAAAAGTTTAAGAAACACGAACAGAGTTGGTCAACCGAGATAAAACCCGTGTCCTTCCATATAGGCACAGCAGGTCGCTTTTGAGGCGATTTGCGACCCGCGCCCTGAATCCAGCTCTCATTGACAACCGAGCCCTCGAAAGTTGCCCAATAGTGGGACCCTACCGAGCTATCATACGCTGCGCTTGGAAGAATGCCGTTTTGCCACCCCAAAACTTAGACCGATAGAGCAGGGTCAGCAAGAAGACCAGTGGTCATAACAATGGTAACAAACGGCGCCACAACTTTGCGAATTTCAGCCCAACCCCCAAAAGCGCACACCTATATTTGAGAGTGAAGTACGAAAGCAGCGATAACTCACAAACGCCAAGGAAGCTTGCCCTCCTGTCGCGGCCTCTACTGATTCTCCGCTACGATCCAGCTCGGGAGTTGCGTGCCCGGAGATGCCGTTCTCGGGCATGGGAAGGACTGTCTTGCTGGCCACGTTGGGTGCCCGGTACACAGAACTGGGGTTACCTGTCAGCAGACGAAGAGGACCCCCGATCAGAAAGGCGCCCATGCATTCGAAGGACCATTAGCAGACTGTTACAGGGAAGCTCAAAGAATACGAGCCGCCCAGGGAAGAACTGACTGCAGAAGAAAAAATGAGCGGCCCGTCTCTCTCGGCAGCAAACATTGGGGCGAATAGCGAGACTGGAAATTTTCCTACAAAAATCCAGTGCAATGTGCCCGATTCCAACGTGAGCGCGCTCGACGAAAGGAGCGACAGACGAACGAGAAGAAACAACCAAGGCAACATACGAGAAAGGGGGTACAAGAATGCAAGGCAAATAAAGTCAGCCAAGTCAAAGATAGAAAATTGGTTTGCCCACCTTTGTTTTTGCAACATTCACCTTTGTTTTTGCAACATTCAATCCTTCTTCTGGTCAGGGAGAAGTCGTCAAATTCAACAAGGATGTCAAAGCTGTCCAGTCCTCCGATCAAAAAGCAAGCTGACCGTTACAGGTGGCTGATACGAAAGCAAAGGAACTTCTGGCACAGATCCTTTCCCCAGCTTTTGTCTCCTTCCCTTAATGCCACCTTAGGCTGCTGCCTGAGAAAGAAAGCAAGGATTCATTAACACTGTTCATCGGTGCGGCTCACCTGGAATTGCGGGCATTCTGTACACGTGTTCTCCGCTGTAGCTCAGCAGAACGTCCGTGCCTTGGGGGTTGAAAGTCACGTGGGTCAGGTGGAGGCCTTGCTTCGTCTGCAACAATGAGTGTCGACGCTTGAAACGGTTCAATGAGACAGCGCATGACGACTGGATAATAACACCAGCACAATCTGCGCAGTGGATGTGGTACTGACAATAATGGGGACTGCAAAGCGGTGGAATCAACCCTGGGGTTTGGAGTCCCTCGAATCTCATCATGCACTGAGACTGCACTGAGGCAAAGGAAAGGGAGAGCGATCGAGAACAAGAAGAAAAAGGAAGCCGGGCCTAGGACCCCGACCGAAAAAGCAATGAGGTGAAAGATGCACGAACGCAGGAGGGCTGCGGTTCACTCCGAGTTGCTGAGGAGAAAGCCAAACACGCAAATGCAGGAGGCCTGAGGAAGTTGAGCACAACCGCGAGCCAGATAAATCGGGGGACCAGTTCTGAGGGCTTACCGCCTCTGCCAGGTGCGCTGGGGCGTAGTAGCAGACACAGGGGGGGGCGGGGACAGGGTGCGCATCTCGGCACATGGAGGAGGGGGTGGGAAGCATGCGGCGGTCGTACAGGCGAGCGAAGGCGTCACTGCACGGACGAGAGAATCGCAGTTTTGGATAGGGTTCGAGTTGCTTAAGAAAGAGGGGGGCAAGGACGGTGGGCGGTCGTACAGACGGGCAAAGGGTCACTGCACAGACGGCAGCATGGACGCGGTTAGTGACAGGGTTAGAGCTGGCTAAGCGGGGACGGGGTCGCGGTGCGCCTCTTGGAATATGGAACAAAGGGTGGGGAGCATGGGGCGGTCGTACAGGCGGCCGAAGGCGTCGCTGCACGGACAGGGTTAACGGCAGGGTTAGAAACAGGTTTAGGGGTGGGAAAGATCGGGTCAGCGATTACGTCTCATAAGGAAGCGAAGACGAAGTTGTAGGTATGAACGAGGGAAAGATGACGACGGAGTTGATTGAAGGATTCTAATCTCAGGTAAAAATGAGTGCGAGGAACGGGTTAGATGGGAAGAGAGTTGGCAAGGGGGCTGGAGACGGGTCAGAAAGGCGCTAGAAAAAGTGAGCACTTTTCAAATCTTGCACGGATCCCAGGCTCGTACCAGGCTCCAGAGAAGGAGCTGGAAGCGTAAGCAATGCATCAGATTCGATGAAGCAAGTCGAGGAACCCCTCCGTAGACATTCCAAAATGGCTGATACCTTGTTTCAAATCCAAACGACATGAGCACACACATCAAACATCTGACTTGAGGCTGTCGTTGCATTGTGTGCAGGTTGTTCTGAGAGCTGATGGCATCAAGGTAATCACAGCGTAACGAGGCTCAAAATCATACAGAAGCTCTGAACGTCTTGAACACAATACGCTCGCTTACCTTCCCCCCACGAGAATGTGGTTGGGTCTGGTCGGGTGGATGGCGCAGCTCTTGAGCGCGAGGCAGTGGCGGGGGGGGGCGGCCAGGGAGCGCTTCATGGCCCCCCGGAGATCAAGCTGGCAACAGAGCAAAGCAAGGCATCAGGCTGAGGCATCGTAACCGCACCACTCTTGAAACCGGTACGACACGGCCAGACCTGATTGCTACGTCCCGACCGAACAACCTCGACGAAGACACTCGGAGTGATTGCGACCTGTAGAGTGTCGAACTTCTCTTTCACACACCCTGTAGATTCGAGCGACACATGCTCTGCCCTTCTGCTCTCAACCACGTCTTCGGAGGACACTTTGAACGCGACGAAATCGACGTGCTCGAGCAGCCGCAGCCGGAGTTGACCGAGTCCGACAACAATCTCGGGTTTTCCCGTCCGGAATCAGAAACCTCCGAAAGCGGCCGCACCAGTTGAAAGTTCCGGGCTCCCCCTTACCAGCACGCTGCGACACTCGTCCTGAAAGCCCTGCCGGCACGGCCCCCGCTCGCGCAGGTCATGCTGACGCAATGTTCCATCTTCGGAGGCGCTCCACACCAGATACGGATTGCCCGGTTCCACCGCTAGCTTTTTCACGCGCCGCGTGTGGCACGCTAGCACGCGCACCCCGCCCTGCGACTCGGTTCCCCCACGGTTGAGGCGGTGGATGCGGACCTCGCCGTCTCCAGCACCGGATGCGATGATCTCATCTGGGAGAAAAAAAGCGATGGAGGGTAAAATCGGTTAGTGAAACTACCCCGTCGGTTGAGGCGATGGATGCGAACCTCGCAGTCGCCGGCACCGGAGGCGATGATCTCAGCTAGGAAGGTAAAGCGATGGAGGGGCAAATTTGGTCAGTAGACCAATTCGGATCACTAGGGCATCGCCGTCTTCGGCTCGAAAGGCATTGATCTCGTTTGGAGGCAAAGCGATAGGGGGTTGGGAAGAACGATTTAGATTAGGTCAGAGGTTTTGAACAGTATCAGTCTGAGAGGAAGGACGATGGAGAGTGAGGTGAACCGTTTAAGAGTACGGTAGAGGGAACATGGAATCAACAAGGCTCCGGCTGATGAGGGCTCATAGGATCTCTCGCAATCACGACAAGGTCACTTTGAAGACAACTGTCTCGTACAGAAGACGCCGATGATGGACAAAGGTCTTCATGCTTTTGCAATGTACCTTCGGATGTGCTTCCGCCCGTTCAGGGTAAGCTCAAGAACACTTTTATACTTCTAGTGATAAGCAGTCATCTTTCGAGCAGAGAGATTATTGGAACCCGCAAAGCAGGAGCTCCGAACCAGGGGTGTTAAACTTCTGATCACAAGGCAAAGCTGCATCCCATCTTTGATATCAAAAACTTTCAAGCACCCTTTGGTTCGTTTCCTTCTCACCGTTGCACTCCGGCATGAACTGTGTGCAGAAAATGTTTGCGGAGTGGCCCGAATCGACGCTGTACAGCAACCGGCGGGAGCCGTAGTCCCACACGTTCACGCGGGTGTCATCCGAACCGGAGACCAGCAAGGAGCCCGACTTGTTCCATGCGATGGAGTTCACACAGCCCGTGTGACCCTGCAAAGGCACAGTGTGAAGCGGCTGGAGAAGTTGTTCTTAATACGACTCGCCTTGTAATCGATGTCTTGTCTTACTTGGTGATGATTGCGCAGAGTCAGGTTCGGGGTGTTGTCTTCATTCTCTTTTTGCAAACTCTGAAGCGTGGAAAGAAGAAACAAGTCTTCTGTCGAAATCACTTACAGAGAGACCTGATCTCTCAGGTCCGAACGTGGTGCAAGGACAAGTGACGCAAAGAAGGACAGAGGTGAGGCATCAGAGCCCCAAATATCTCCCACGGGACGTTGAATCGGAAAGTTTCTAACTCGAATTATCGTGTTTGGCATGCCAACACGTTGAAGGCACTGTAAGAAGGAACATCTGCTAAGATGGCACCAAGTACGTGACTTCAGAAGATTGCGCTCCAGAATCGAAGAGCTCTTAAGTGGCACACCAATGCTTGTGCACTAACAACTGGAAAACCAAAAACCTTCAGATGCTGCAAGAGTTTCATTGAGATTAATTGTAATCCCCATTGGAACAGCTTTTGTGCATCTTCGAAATAGTCGGACAACCAGAAAGCAGAATAACAAGTGTTCTAAAGCTCCGTCTGACGCTAAGAACTGTTCACATGACAAGGTAAAATGCAAGCGGAGTGAGGATGGATGCAATTGGGGATGCTTCTAATTCGTATACCCCCATCTTTTGCTCTCTCAAACGGGGTTTGAAAGCTCAAAAAAGTACTCATCTTCTTCTGAAAGTACTGGAACAGTCCCTTGGTGGCTTGACTTGACTTGAAGCAACAAAGAGAATGCTTGCTCGGAAATTCAAGGTCCGCATCAAACCTCTGCAGAACCAAGAGCGGAAGCTGTAACCAGCTTACCTCTAGGGTTGAATCGAGGGTTAAGCGGCGAACCAGGGCCTCATGCATCTGGACCGCCCCCCTGATCGAGTGAGGTCCAGAAGCCTGCGTGATGTCGGCGCTGATATCAGCAAAACCTGCCCTCATATGGGCCATATTGAGTCATCACAGTAATGTTTAGGACAGGCAATCTTATGCAGGAACGAATACTCTTGGCACTGACTAATGCTGGGGGGAAAAGGCAGGCGTGTATGCCCCATTAAAGGCAGAGGCATTTTTTGTCATTTCCCAGGCAGCTTTTTTATTGCAACGATCACCATGGCATACTAAATCCAGCTGAGAAAATAACAGCTCTTTCTCTTAAAGCAACAGGAGTTTCCAACTGAAACCAGCATGTAAGCATACATCTTCCATGCAAAAAGAGTGGCCCTACTGCAACTTTTTCACATTCTTTCCATTCAAACATTGTTATTGCAGTGATGCTCCAATAGGCCTGGTGCTACGCCAACACATTGATGGCTGTTGTAGAATGGCTGAGTCGCTGTTTTAAGTCAGAGGAGTTCTTAAGACACATGTCATGAAACCAGACGGGGCGCCAGCAGGAATCAAAGAGAAGGCTTTGACAACATTGATTCTACATGACTACCTTGCAGCCCAAGCGAGTTGAGAAACCAACTGAGAGCATTTTGGACAGGCATAGAGTTCAATTGTATAGTGCACTGAAAGCAACATTTGAAATAAGCAATTCCCAGGACATGTACTCTGGGGCCCACACATCATCAAGTAACGAGCACTGGAAAGTTAAGGAGAAGAAGGGCACAGCTCACATCATAGCCACCAACCTCCCGCCCCGTAAGCAACGCTTGAAGATTCCTGTCGCCCGGTAGCATCGTGCCTGCCCTTTCACCGAACAGTAGAAGGAGGGCTGCTTCCGTTTCCTTGCAAGAGAAGTTGGTCCTTGAGAAGTCACTTAAGAAGTCACTTACTGTTGTTACTGCCCTCTCACTATCAGAGCGCCTTCAGGCTTCAGGCTCAGCTCCGTCATGAGACCGGTTCCTGAAAATGCTGAAAAGCAGATGACCATGTTGGCTAAGCTCATTGAACGCCCTTACGCGCGCACCTGCTGAGGCTGTGGCTAGGACGGGCACCAGAATTCCGCTTCCGCTCTAGCGCGGCAACACGAATCAAGTTGGGCGGAACGTTCTTGCAGCCTCAGCCTCAGAAGAGCCTCCCCTGGGCCTGCAACGTCTGACTTTTGGGGCAGCACAGAACGGGCGCTGCGTGGAGCACTAAGCACACTGATCCAGAAGGAAGCTCTCCCTTGGCCTAGGTATACGAAGAACCTTTTGGGCTGTTTCACCAGAGGTGGCCGCGCCGGGCGGTTGCTTTCAAGAATGGGCTGTGCAGGCTCAAAAAGCAAGGAAAAAGCAGGTAAGCCAGTCACACGTCATGCAGTTGCTTGAATGTCGCCGCTTGACACCTTCCAGGGGTAGTTTGAACTGTGTTTGATGGAGCTAGTAGGGTTCTTTGGCAGGTCCGTTGTTGCTCGTGGGTCATTGAAAACCTTCTATTGCGCAAGTCAAGCGTGGAAAAAGAGTAAGCCCTTCTTTGGCACAGTATGCGCTTGAAATGTTGTCTTCGATGTAGATACGGTCTTTGAGCAGCTGTCTGATGCTTGGGACAAGGAGAGAGCAAGCGTCTTCATTGAGCTTGAATTGGTGCGGTGCTCCAAAACTGACAGCTTATCGCCAACACCAAATGCTGAAACTATTTCTACCGAGCTGGTATTTCTGATTATTGAATACGGATGTGTTAACCACTACTGCCTGAGCTGAACTTGAAGGTTATTCCAATCATGTTGTTTGCAGTCCGGTTAGCAAACAGCGGTCTAACTGCTCGGTTGCTTGTAGCCTGCTGCGTCAGCGTTGCGCACCTTCTGGTGCACGTTCTCTGAGAGGGGGGCTGTGCACGTTCAGTCAAATCGAGCAACTTACTTGAGGGACGAATCTCAGGGAAGCGTATGACGGACATTGCAAAATGAGGTCACTTGTGGTCCCCCACCCTGTTGGGCCTTGGACCTGGAATTCAATATGCGCAGGGAAAAACCCATTTTAGAAGCATAATGCTCTCATTATCTATAAGGACAGTTCTATGGCAGTGTGGGGGAGGGTCCACGCGCCTCTGTAAATGGCAAGGTATGTGTCTCTGTCTGACTCTCCTGACCTGGTCTTTTTCCGTCTGACAGGCTCTCAAGTTCGAAAGCCCAAGCCATGGAAGCACCCCACCCCCATTACGCGGGGGGAGCTAAAGAAAATGCGCGAGGAGTTCTGGGACACTGCGCCGCACTATGGGGGGCAAAGGGGTGAGCGAAGGCCTCGAAACTGACTTGCATCTGACGTCTGGATGTCAGTTATCATTGGCAAAGAATCCAGCCAGGAATCAGGGGGCCAATTCTCTAGGCAATCTTCGAGTTCTGCTTTTTGAAGCTTGCTTGTGCTTGCATACGGCTCCTGTGCACAGGAATAAGGACTGATACGAAGAGAAGGGAGCAGGGGGAAAGACTTGCAAACATAGGAGCCTTTTTGCAGTCAATCTGTTAAGCCACCTGTTCATGAACACTACCGATGTGTCACCATTCCTTCTCTTGACTCCGTGGCTTGGCAAATTTGTTAGTGTGGCTTCCTCTGCTTTGTTTGTCTCATTTGCCTGAATTCATCTCTCCTTATGCGACCACTTTGCTGGTTTGCATATATTGCGGGGTCTGACAACAGGAAAGAAGCGAAAGAAAAGAACCGTATTGTTTTTGCTCAGGACCTGAGATCAAAACGAGTCTGCCAGCCGCTTTACTTAGCAGTTTCTCCCTTACGAAGTTTGCAATCGCAAGGTCCCACCCATGAATGCATCAGTTTTTGCCCAGGGCTTCTTTGTATCTGGTGATCAGTCGTTCTTCGTCTGCGAGTCCCTTTCGTAGCTCATCGAGCCACCCCCTGCTTACCCATGCAGAAATCTGGGACGCGCTCCGGGTCGCAGCGGAGGGGGATCCCGCGTTTGCAGAGACGATCATAGAAAGTGCGGGCATCATCTTGCCAAACGGCGGGGACCTGTCAACGTGTTATGACGAACGAGGTGAGTTTGTTTTGGCCTGGTTATTTTTTTTCTTCTTCTTGGTACGTGCCACACGCCTTCGAAGGCCCAGTATCCATCTTCGGAGGCGATTGATGTTGCGGCTTTATGCGCTATGCATCCGCATCTTACGGCGCTGTGACCATATAAAGGAACTCGAGTCGGGTCTTGGAGCAACCGAAGTCAAGATGGCTGCGACGGAGCTAGCACTTTTCGACGCTTCCACTTTCCGCGGAGCATTTGTGGAGCACGTTCCCCAACGAAGTGGGATTCTTTCCATTTGCAAAGTGACACTAGAGCCGTCTTTTGTACCAGGAGCCAAGTACGACCTGCCGCACTACGTCCTGAGTGACCCCGTCAACCTCGTGAAGGACGACACGCATTGACACTTCCGAAAAGGGTAACCAAATTTAGGACGCCCTGCGCGGTGCCCTCCTGCTTTGTGCCAGACCGGATAGAACAGAACGCGCTTCTTCAGCAGAGTCCGGGCCAAACCCTTGTATTATAGACTAACAGAGGTCAGTGTCCAGTCGCGTAAATAGGTAGCCGTGATCCTGCTGACAGTGTAGGCGAAGCTCATAATCTTGGACAGTCATAACGACAGCTTACTCCGTGTGGAGATATTCTCTACTAGGTGTTTCCCGTGTTACCAGATGGCTCGATTCGAAATTGACTCAATATTGGCGCTTGGTTGCTACAAAGGATGTGTGACAGACACACGCATATATAGCTGTCGGGGACCTCAGAAAGATAGTTAAAACTTGGACGACGTTCGACACGAGAATAAAGCTTGGCCTGCAGGCCTCGTATATATGAGAAGGGGGCTAGATTGACGCCTTTTCTGGTTGGACAATTACAAGCCTGGTCAGTTTCTTGTTCGTGCTGTTGTTCGTGCTGCATATGCATCTCAATCCGTTTTAAGGCGGCATGCGTCAATCATACATGTTGCACATGCACATGCATGGATCGAATTAAGGCTCCCCAAACGGTTTTAAGGTTTTGCATGAAATTTTGTTAATAAGGTCGCGCGCGCGCGCGGGTGCATAAAACACATCCGCGACGCTTTATGACATCCGTATCCGACTATAGCTTTTCAATCATGCAAGGCCTCTGCTCATGCATGGGTTCGCGCAGCTTCAGAGCAGTCGGACAACGTGTTAGGACCGTATGGTCCATGCTTGTGTTATGCAATAATGAGTCAACCGTCTTAGTCACCGATGGCCGCGCAATAATCTATGCTAGGGGAAAAAAGATAAACTTAGGTAAGCTGCATGCCAGGGTACAACTGAGGGCTGTAGCTGGCTCGTCTGACAGCTGGCAACTAGCCGCGTAAGAGCCAGGCTGCTCCTAATTTTCTACAGAGTTAGACATGGATGTGGGATAGACCATAACATGTTGCATCATGATTCATGTATATGCGCGGCTGTGAGGCCACTGCTGGAACAAAACGGACCGGCCAGAGACAAACGTCTTTGTCAATACAGCCGATCCGGAAAGACGTATGGAAGTGCAGATCAGGCCCCCTTGCTGGAAATGCGGCCACCTAGACAACACGTAAAGTTCTGAAAGAGCTAGGTTGTGCGGTGAGTCTGGGTGTGGCGGCGGGTCTTGAGTATTTCATATATTCAAACATTAATTTGAGGTAGAAGCGCTGCAGTGGCAACAAAAGCTTTTGGAGTCAAAAGTTTAAACCAGGGCCAACCAGGGCCCCTTGATGTCTGGGGTGACAACCTGAGTACTAGTATCCAATCAAGATAGACTTCCATTCCGCTGTTCTGATCGGAAAGCGATCCGCTGGGCGCTAGATTTAAGACCGCTGCAAGATTGGGTTTCTGATTCAGATTGTATCCCTCGGACTTAAGGTGACGTCCGGTGACGTACTATATATACAACGTAATATTTACTGCAGATGTAGGTGGTCTGGAAGCACGCGCGCGCGCTGCTGTGAGTCTGGAGGCCAAGGAGGTTTCCGGTCGACTGAGACTACAAGGACATGCCGCTGCTTCGAAGTCTGGAGCAGCAAAGCAACCTAATCGTTATTGTGATCTTGTGGACGTAGCGCTGATAGCGCCGGCGCTTTTCGAAGACTTCTGCTCCTCCACGTGAACGTGACGTGAACTTCCAGGTTTGGCGCGGCGCAGGGAAGCGTGAGGTTCACACTTGAGGAGGTAGCCCGACAAGTGAGCGCCCTTCGCTCGCAGGCACAGCAAAGCATTTGGTAGGCGACTACAACTGAACAAACCGCAAGGCAAAGAGATTCCGAGATTCGTCAACAGCTTGGCGCTAGCATGGAGGCAGCAGAGATAGTCAACCAAACACAGAAGGTGCTGTCTATGACAGACGTAAGCGTAGCCGAGAGACTGGAGGTGGTGGTAGACCTGCTGTGCCGAACTTCTTTTGCTCTTGTTCAAGATCGGCTGAAGCTCGAGGAAGGAAAGACGCGTTTCGGCGACCTCCCAGCTGACTTGCAGGAGAACATCTTCCAGCGAGCTTTGGGCGACAATATGACGCTGTGGGCCTGCAAGCGCGTCGCAAAGAGCTGGCGGGAGATCTGCACCCAGCTGACCACGTGGCAGTTCAGCGCCGAGGTTCAGTCCTTACGTCATCCTTGCAACGAAAAGGATTACCCTGGCTGCCACAGGGGGGGCTATCATGAAGCTTACCACCTGAATTTTCACTTGTCACCTTCTGACGTCTTTCTGGTGGTTCGCACCAGAGGGCGAAAGCACACCGGGCAATTTTCGGTGAGCTTTCGCGACGCTGGGGGTAAGCCTTGCACCTGGCGCCGCTGGTTGAGCGACCCCCTGAACCTGGAATCGCCGACCGGGGTACTGGTGGAGAAGAGCTTCGAAAGTGACCGCCAAAGTAATAGCGAGTTTGTGGTCCAGTACAGGGGGCTAGAGATTAAGTTTGAAAGTTCCGGAAGGCGGCACTATGGGGATGTCAGAGTGGTTCTTGGAAAGGGGCTGAAGAACGAGTCTCCGTGCGCCAAGTGTCGCAACTGGCTGCTGTGGCGTCGAGATACGTTGAGGCGAGAGTCGCGGATTGCTAGCATAGTCGCCATTGGACCGCAGTAAAACGAAAGAGCCGGGATGCTGCCCGTTCAGAAGCCACCACAATCGTCAGCTGATTGAAACTCCACGTTGATATTGAGGTCCGGATTGTCAAAGAGAAGTCAGGTCTTCTCGGTCCGCCCGTGGAACTTCGTACAAGGAACCTTTAACTGAGCATCTTTGTCTAGGACTTTATGCAAGGTTCCCTGCAATGGACGTTGGATTAACATGTGTTGAAGTGCCACTCATCTCAATAGGTTCTATATGTTGGCATGCTGTTTGATTGACCCACCAGAGTTTTGGCCCTGACGTGTATGTAAGAAACGAATCGAGGGGCAGGGGCAAGTCTACTAGCTTGGATCGATCAGCTACAGTAGTTTCTATTTAAACGTATTCGGGAAGCTATGCATGCCTTGAATTTAAGCATGATGAGGACCCGGAGCGAGGCTGCATGTGTTTGATTCAAGTCAGGTTTGAGGTACGGGCCCGATCGGGAATCCTTGTGAAGCTTGGTGTCTTTGATCAACGCGCGGGAACTAATTGTTCGCGTTGCTGCAGTTGATCTACTGTTGCTCCTAGGTTGACTTGATGATACTGACATTGTTTGATACTTGATTACATCACGTGCTGGACTCGATGCATGCATGCGACTACGCCCGACCGTGCGAGGTCTGCGGGCCGTCTAAAAATGTCGACATGCTGGCACTTGCAAAATCGGGGCTGCCATCAATGCAGAATCGGGGCTGCCATCAATACACAGGCCGTTGGCAGCTTTGACAATGATGGCAATCACGATCTGGAAGTCTCGCCATGCAAGCCTGAAGCGCTCATGGTTTTTCACCATGCACCTCACAGGCGGAAACAAGAAGGAATTAGGTAGATCTAAGGCTGCCGGCCTGAAAGACATGAACGGTACGTCGTCGGGCTGACCGCCACATCAGAGGTCGACTTAGTCCGACGAAGCAAACGTGCCATTGCAAATATTGCCAGTCTAAATATCCGTCCGACCGACCTTACTTCCCCAAGAAGCAAGTGCGGAGGACCGGAACGGCACGATGTGTTGAGTCCTTGTACATTTACAGCACTATGTCATAAGGGAGCAGCCTACGATTCCTTTCGTGCAAACCCCATCAAAGATCCTTGCGTAAAGCTGCAGAACTACCGTTGTATGGACTCCACCAGTATGGACGACTCGGCTTCCGCAACGCTTCTTCTTGACTGTTACCAGGACATTAGCAACGCCTATTCTACCGTTGCTGACGCTTCTTCCGTTTCCCCATCCATGAGGGAGCGGACAAAGCTCTTGGGCGCCTTTTTGATCTCGGCGCCCTCGAGCTCCAGCAGCCGGTGAACGACGCTCTCCGCCGTCCGATTGGTGCGGAGGTAAAACTCAGCCGTCAAGATGTCCCGCTGCTCGGGCGTGAGGTCCGCGTGGAAGCCCTGTAAATTCGCCGTAATACCCGCTGAGAATTCCAAACTAGAACATAGTAGGTCTAAGAACCTTAAAGGTTCGGAGTCCCAAATAAAAAAGGGCATTAGGCGGTTGCAGGAACTGTTGACAGCATTATGAGAAGACAGACTTATGGTCTATGAAAAGTTCCGGGGCGATGCATATCGGAACACACACTGCTGAGAGACACGCGGACAGTATCTCGGTGTGCGCATACGGTTTCAAATCTCGGGCTGCCAGCCAGGCTCCTCAATTGGTTGCGCTTGCGGCGACGATCCACTTGACAGTCCCCGTTTCTCTTCCTCTCGACTGAAAGACCCACGCCGTTTGGTTGATAAATACACCCACTTGGGCGCTTATGAACACAAAGGAGGCCTTTCTAGACCAGTTCAGAGGATCCGGCAGCCGAGAGAAGATCCTTTCGCGAACAAACCTCGCAACTTGGGGCACCGGCCGCCATGAAAGTTCTCTGGTTTCGTTCAAAAGCGAACAGGGAGGCGCACATTCACTCCCAATAATTCGGTTTTAACTGGAAGAATATGATCAGAACCACTGTTCAAACGGTGGTCCAATTGAGCAACGGAGAAAAGGAAGCCGGACGGCGGACCTGTCGCTGAATGCGGTCTCTGACGGCGTGATACATCAGGATCGCGGCCGCGTGCGAGATGTTGAACGAGTCGGTGAAGCCGCCCATGGGGATGTAGCACCCGATGTCCGCCAGCTCCTTGGCGTCGCCCGACACCCCAAACATCTCGTTGCCCAGCACGATCGCCGTCGGAATCGTCCAATCGATCTGGAGAGGAAGAATGAATGCTGGATCGTTTCTTTGGAGTCGCACCGATCCTATTGATAAACAGAATGTACCTCGCTTCACTAAAGGCGGATTTCTCACCAACTGATAATTGGCCTTTTTGACGTTCAGACTTCTAGAGGTGGCCGCCTGATTGCCGTTGCGATTGTGCGGTCAACGTGGGGTGATGAGATAGGGCCGTGAGAGAAAGGACCGTGATTGGGATCCAATCTTTAGAGATCACATAGCGTGGTGAACCTCGAAGTAGATATTATCCCTCGAACTAATCACACTCGATTCCATCGCCGTTGGAATCGATCTGAAGAGCTGATAGCGCCCGTGATCAGAATGCAATTTGCAGAGATGAGATAGCGTCATTTATAAGTGATAACAGACACTAAAACTAATCGCACTTCATCCTTCAATCTATCACCGTCGGGTTCGTCCAGTCAATATGGAAAGATGAGAGATAGTGATTGTTAGACCGGCTTCTGGCAGTCGCACTCGAAAGTTTATTGTACTGGGTGTTTCGTGTCGCCGTCGAGAATGTCCAGTCGATCTTTACAGATGGAAAGCGTGACTATCGAAACACTTCTATGCGACCGAAGCGATTGCACTTAAAAAAATATTCTTGGCAAAAAGCATCAGGAAGGTACTGTAAAAGCACACCTGGGACTGAGCGTATTAACGGTGAGACAAGTCTTTCTTGGAATGAGGGACTCCATGGAAGTTACAAAAGCACAAGAGAAAGCATCCGAAGGGTCTCGTTTCGTGCTGCAAGTCGTTGCCAAGCTTACATCTTGAGAGGGTCGACCAAGGCGAGAAGGGGCTGTCTTCCGTAGGAACTTCGATTCGTTCTTTGAGACTCAGCATGAGACGACTCAACAAACACTCGAGGCTTGGGAATTGTTGCCATCGACTTCCTCAAAACAAAATTCCTCGAACCAAACCGAGACCTGAGAGTCTGTAGTTTATCTTCCGCAAATCAAAAAGCCTCTTAGATAGCCGTCTGATCCTACTACACAGCGCACTCAAACCACATCCAAAATCCGAAACGCTTACCTCGTGGACTGGCCGCGTTTCTCTCCCCTCCCCCAGCTGATCCATGCACGTGACCGCTATCCTGTACCCCCGGGCCTTGAGCGTCTTCAGGCACTGCCACGTGTCAGTCCACAATTCGAGATCCAGCCACTTGTCCGACCCCGCGCTGACGCGCCCGCTGCCCTTGTACCGCGCCCTTTCCCGGGCGACTGCGTGCACCGATTGGCAGCCCAGCGCCTCTGCGGTGCGAGTCACCGCGCTGACATTTGCAAGGTTGTTCAACCCTGCAGAAATGAAATTCGACTTACTCGTTAATGTTATTATGATCACTGTTACTATTGTAGCGAAAACCTATTGCTGGCGTTGTGGGCCACAGTCGTGTGGTTGCCTTTGGCTTTGGAAGAGAGCGCTGAAGTTCGTCAGAGCCTTCAGTCCTGTTATTTTTGAGTTGCCAAACCAAGGTAATGAATCTCGGCCTCGAGGGCTCTGAGTTGACCTCGCGACACTCCGGAGTTCGACTTTGCACTTTGAGTCATTGGAATCTAAAGACAGGAGAGGTGGTTTCCAAGGCGACTACTGCTTCTTGAGGCGTCAGGGCGATCTTATTAGTCTGCAATGCACCTAGGACCTTGAAAGCCATTTGAACAGACTGGCAAAATGTAGTCCGAAGCTGCCAGGAGCTATCAGCGACTATTACCTTCCACAACCGGCACGAGAGCATACGAGCGCCCGGCCACCACATCCGCAATTCGATCAATGCGATTCTGTGCCAGCTGCATACAAGGAAGTGGAGCTTGTCACATTCTTTTAGCTTTGTGGCCTCTTCTTTCAGGACTTCAAAAAGATGAGTACTTAGGAAAGGACTCACACCCCTGGTCTTGTCCAAAGCCCTGGCAAATACCAGGATTGATCTGAAACGAGTTAAGAGAGGGAAGACGGTGCACGTTTTGACTGGTGGAGTCTACTGCTTAAGCAATACATTTGCTTGTGTTTATATCCACGCGTGAATCTCGAGCGAGCACTGACTGAAGCTTTTCGATAGACCTACACCGGACAAAACGCGTTTACATCAAAGTAGAATCTGTTCCTTGCGAGCACAACAGAGAAGAGCGGCCCAAGCAGAAAGATCCTGGCGCACAATGAGAGTAGGACAAAGGATCATCAAGGGGCTTACTGTTTCCGACGACGCTCGTGATAAAAGCTGGCAAAATCTCCAGTCAACCATCACTGCCACTTAAGATTTCGATAATTGCGGCAGCATCCTCAGGATGCCGAGTCTCTGTTCTCGCTGGTGGACGCCAGTTGCAGGAGCTGCATTCGACCCTTGCTTGAATACTTGCTCAGGCTTAGACGCGGTCAAGTTGATGTTTGGGAGTTTTACAAATTTTGGACAATCAGAACATTAGTGTATTCCGAGGCTACTTACCTGAGCCTCCAACGCCCGCTTTACAGTAGCTGTATCCACCTTTTGCCCTTCAATCTCAAACACGCCCGAATGTGGGAACCACGCTTTTCTGTCCTTTGCCTTCTCTTCTTGTCGGCCACTGAAGCAAGGGCCTGACCCTTCCTCCAAAGACCCTGATTGAGAGCTGCTCCTCCCTTTTCCATGCTGAACAATGACTCTACCTCTTGGACCTCTCTTCCTTTTTTTGACCAAGCGCAGGAGCGCGTCTGCGTCCTCCACATCCCCGCTACTCGAAGCAAGTTCTTCATCTACAGGTGTTCCAACAGAGTACTCCAGCTCGCTAACAGAGGACTCTGGTTCAATGTCAGATACACTGCTTAGCTGATCGCTATCTGTACTCTCTGGTTCAAATGGAGGTTCGAATGATGGCTTTGGCACAGCCACGGTAAAGTTTTTCTTCCACCATGCGGAGCTACTCTTCACTTTCCGAGGCTGTGTTTCACCACTAACACACGAGGATGCACTTTCTTCCGTGGAGGGAGCTGACCCTTCTTTCCCCTCCCTCACAACATTATTTCCTATTTCTTCCTGGTGCGTCGGAGCTGCAGTCATCCCTTGCGGTCGGTAAAACACTCTCATGTCTCTTCTCCCAGCTCCAGCTCTTTTCCTCGACTTTGCTGCTGGACGGCAACCAGAATGAACCTGCAACGACTGAACCTTCTCTTTCCTCTCCAGAGGACGCAGGTGGCCTGCACCACCAATCATCGGGGCTGGAAACACTGGAACTAGCGGAGATGACAGTCCTTTACAACCTGTGTGCAGAAAAGGTCCCATCGCAGAGTGCAGCCTTCTTGCAAGAATGATGGAGGGTTGCGCAATGCTGACAATGTGAGAAGTGGGTAACTTGCTGCCTGCTTCAGACAGAGCATTTGGCGCTGCGCCACTCCACTGTGCACAATTGTGACCGAGCAGCGGTGGGTGATTGCTCCAAGAGACTGCTGCAGAAGCCATTTTGGCACTGGAAGGAAGAACTGTCGTCCTGCATACGCCACTCACGTTGCGGCTCGAAATCAAGCCTCCCTGCCTGTGGCAATGGACATTGGACCTGCCAAACCATGTGCAGCCTGTGTGCAGCTAGCTCTGCAGGCAAGGAGCTCTTCAAGTATTGGTGCGATGGATGGTGGGTTTCGGCAGCCGGCTGGTTGCAGGAAACGGTTTCGGACGCCGTTTCCTGCAACCAGCCGGCTGCAGCTGTATCAGCTGCAGACTTGCTCAAATTCACCCCTTCGCGCTCAGGCACGCCAACTGACGGCTGCCTGTTTCGTGGTCGAAAAATCGCACCGAAACTCGAAAGCAAGCAGCTAGATACTTGGAGTCTTGATCAGCTGGGCATGACTCACTGGCATGAGTGCAAAAGCCCAAGCCTGCCGAGGCAAGTTGCAACGCTGTGCCACTGCAAATTGCAATTTGCCGATCCCGGGCCTATATATGAATAATGCATTCGTAGTTCACTCCATGTAGCTTCCGCTTCACCAGTCCGCTCGACTAAGACATTCATTCTCTTCCCAATCATGCTCCATCTCAGGTTTCAACTCTGCTTGCTTGTTCTGTATCCTAATCAAGGGCGGAAGTAGACCTGGAACCCAGTTTTGAATCAGCAAGATGGCTCCCACCAGCATTCTTATCATCGGCGCCACTGGTTACATTGGGCGGCACATTGCCCTGGCAGCCGCAGCGGCGCCCGAGGTTGCGGCATTTGCCCTCATCAGCAAGGCGACAGCTGGCAAGCTGGAGAGGAAGGAGGTGCTGGACCAGCTGCGCAGCGCAGGCGTCCAGTTTCTGGAGGTGAGATAAGAGTATCATCTTTTAACATGTGAGCGTTGCTCTGGAGGAGCTCTGGAGGCGCCTTGGAATCTAGGAATAAGCTCCCCTTCGTAGTTTGCAGTGCCGTCACATGATTCGAGAGCAGTCGCATCTCCCAAGCTGTTGCCTATGATTCTCAAAAGTTACTTCCCAGCCTATTACAAGGTTAAGCTTGTCAGAGCTTGCTCCACTTTCTGCGGAACAGAGCCTTTGGAGGGGAATAGGAGTCTTCAAAGTTGCAACAAGGCTCACGAATCCCTGCAGCCTTAGCACTGACTTGGAGTGCCCTGATGTCTCCGCAGGGAGACTTGTACGACCACTTCAGTCTAGTTGCGGCGCTGAAGCAGGTGTCAATAGTGATCTCCACGGTGGGCTATGCCCAGCTGAGCGACCAGACCAAGATCATTGACGCCGCCAAGGAGGCTGGGACGATCACGCGGTTCCTACCGTCTGAGTTTGGGCTTGGCCCCAGGTGAGAGCTTGCTTGACTAGGCGCTCAAGATAGCGGAGTAGTTGCTTACAGAAATGTGATCAGAAAAGTCTTCAAGTTCGAAGCAGGTACTGATAAGATCACAATATGTGGTGGGTGCAGAGTGGATCCTTTGCATGAGAGGGTCCAGCAAGGCCTTTTCTCCACCTCAGACTTCTCCTCAGCGCTTTGGATGCACCCATGCCTGCAAGTTACAGTTCCAAGGGCGTCACTCTTCTGACACCTTCCCCTCACATCGACGCCATCCGTCGTTTGTCAAGCTAGATTTTACAAGCTGCCGGTTCAAGACATCATGCAGTCTCGCTCGTCCCTGCTGTGTGCTCCCCACTGATCCTGCATTCTTGTCGCATATGCAGTGAGAAGACAATCGAGGCATTTGGGGACCTTGCTCCGATCTGGGCGATCAAGAAGACAGTGCTTCCCGCACTGATCGAGTCAGGCATCCCTTACACAGTTGTTTGGTCCAACTGTTTTGCCGGCTACTCTCTGCCGGGTCTTGGCGCACTAGGACCTCCCGTTGCGGACGAAGTCACGGTCTTTGGCTCAGGGGACGTGAAGGGTGCGCATCTCTCGTCGCTGCTACAGACTATCGTATGAAGGTCGGAACGGAACCATATTGTGATGCGTATAAAGCCCAAGCCTCACTTGAGCATTGGGATATTCTTGCTGTCAAACAATCTCCTTACCAACCGCAACAGTTTAGATGCTGTTTGGCATCTTGCCGTATCGTCGTTTGGATAAAGTTCTGGTCTCTAAGCCGCAGTCGCCCTATGTGTTGGGCGTTCCAAGCTTTGGCGTGTGATTTTAGGAGGTGGAAAGTCTTTGATCTGGCAGGAGAGCTTCTTCCGATCTGCAGACACCATTTGCGCTTAGTACTTCCTGCAAGCTTGACGCATTTCAATCAGAATTCGGAGTTGCTCCATCCAACCCCGATTGTCTCCTAGCGAAACCCTCAAAACCCGTGCTAACCGCCGCATAGGCGTGATTGTCGACGAGGGGAACATCGGGACGTACGCGATCAAAGCGGCGCTCGACCCTCGCGCCGCCAACAAGACGGTTCACTTGGAGCCCCCGCAGAATGTCGTCACCCAAAACGAGCTGATTGCACTTGCGGAGAAGGTCCGGGGAAAGACGTACAAGCGTCGAACCGTGTCTGCCGAGGAGCTTATTCAGCAATATCAAAGTGAGTATTGGAACTGACACTGCCAGTCTTACCAACTTTCGGAATGACTCGGATGAAGTTCCAAAGTAATCAAGCAGGACTGAAACCGTTATTGCCAAGACCAGGGACGGGCCATGCTGCATTTGTGGCTTCGAGAACGAGTGCTTCGACAGACATTGCAGAAGCGCATTGGGTTGGAACGTAGCATGCAATACTTCGCCGAAGCCGGCACCTTTCGCTGTTCGCACAACGCTTTGCGAAGTGAATGTTTGCCGCAACCGTATAACCTGTTGTTGCTTATATAGGCGCGTATCTCGCTCGCTCAAACTTATATTATATTATTTCAGATACTTTCAGTGCGGCTTGTGGCTCGAGCAGACAACTGAAGCAAAGCAGCAACAACCCGAAACTCAAAGGAGATTTTCCTTCTTGGCAGCTTTCGACCCGTCTATCAAGTTCTTGCCCTACCTCAACTACGCCATCTGGATTGGCGGTGACTCGTTTCACCATCCACTGCCTGAGGGCCACGTGTCATCCGTCGACCTGTACCCGGATGTGGAGTACAAGTCAATTGCTCAGCTTCTTTAGGAATAGGTTCAGCTTTGAATATTGCAATATCAAATCTGAAGACATTGCGGCTGTACCCTGTCGCGGTCCTGGACACGTGTACAGCCTAAGTTAATGTTGGTACCTTCTAAGACAACCTGGTTTTTAATTTCTGAATCAATTCGAGGCTTAATGCAACAATTTCAGAAACCAACTTAGTTGCATTTGACTCGCTCGTGGGTTCCAGGATCCGCATTGCAAGACAAGTCGATCGTGCTGGGACTCAGCCATTAAGGGCTGCTGTGATTCAATTGTAGGTCCATATGGAGAGCTTAGAAACAAATTGTGTTATAAGATCAGGTCGATTGCGTGGGCTTGCAGGAACCTTAGTCGAGTCTGTTACATGTAGGATAAGATTACAATAGCTAGTAAGCCTTTAACTTTATAGCAACGGAAGAGTTGAGATGGATATTCAGGTAAGAGGTCGCGGTCATGAGAACCAGATGTTGCGTCGGCCAATAGTCTCAACAGGCTCTGATACGTTCTCAGTCTTGCCAAGCGAAACCGTGCATGACTAGTGATGATTGAAAACTTTCCTTCTGCAATTTCAGATCTATGCCTCTTGATGAGATTTTAAGCCTGCACGTGCAGTATGACGGTCCGTGAGTGACATCAACTTGTTGCCATCGGACCTTGGATCCGTCCTAGTACCTCGTACATGCGCACGCGTATAGAAACATGAACCGTCGTGTTAGTATAACGCGCCTGCTTGGCATGCATCGTATGCCACATGTCCCAGCAATGCGAAACCCAAAATGGGCCCAAAATCTTGTCGATCACTTGAGGGACCGCTTCTTTGGCAGGCAGGTACCAGGCCCGATACAGAGGATACCATTGGGAAGGAAGTTAGTTCAATCAATCTGCCGTAGTGACAGCCTGACGTTGATTTAAATCAACTACAGCCTAGAGTATCCTTTCCTATCCTCTGTATCCTATTTACAGCAATGCTATCCAAGGCGTTATCTAGCACCATCAAAGCTGAACTTTTCCTAGAGAAGCTGAGCAAGCGTCTTATACTCCACGTCCGGGTAGAGGTCGACGGATGACACGTGGCCTTCGGGCAGTGGCTGGAGCGAGTCACCGCTGATCCAGATGGCGTAGTGCAGGTAGGGCAGGAACCTGATGGATGGGTCGAAAGCTGCCAAGCAAAGGCAATTGAAATTGAGTTTTCGGGGTTCTTCCCGCTCTGCATTCGATCTTCTGCTTCGCGCCGACAATCACCTTGAACAGATCTTCTCTCGTTTTGCGAGAGTGAGAGAACGTCTCTTCACAGGCGACAAGAGCATACGGGCAGGTTGTCACTTCGCAAAAGCGTAGTGTAGACAGCAACAGCTGCCTGCTTCGGCGAAGCACTGCATGAACTCCTCTGCATTCCTATGCTACCTGTCTATACCCAACTCGCTTCCGCAACAATTCTCGAAGCACTGGAACGCTCTCAGATGCACAAGTGCAGCACGGCCTGTTCCCCCTTCTTAGCCAATAAGGATATTAGTCTTGCTACTCAAGTTGGGGATCTCATCCGAGCTGTTCTGAAAGTTGGTATGAGTCGATACGTCGTTTCCGCCGCTCACTCTTGTACTGCTCGAAAAGCTCTTCGGCCGACACGGTCTTGCGCGCGTACGTCTTTCCGCGGGCCTTCTCCGCGAGCGCGATCAGCTCGTTCTGAGTGACGACGTTCTGCGGGGGCTCCACGTGGACCGTCTTGTTGACGGTGCGCGGGTCGAGCGCCGCTTTGATTGCGTACGTCCCAATGTCGCCCTCGTTGTTGAGAATGCCTGCGTGCAGGTTAGCACTGGGTTAAGGGTTTGGCTAGGTGAAATACCTACGTTCCATAGAAAGCAATACAGGGTTTAGAGTTTGGTCAAACTAGGTTACGCTTGCAGCAAGGCTACCAGGATGAGATCGGCTGACATGAGTCTACGGCTGTATAAGGACGTCACCGCTCATGGGTTTGGTCAGGTCGTCAAACCTACGGCTGCATCAAGCAAACAACAGATTTGACTCTTGTCTGGACAGAGGCCTTTGGTCGGGGTTTAGCCAGCATTCGGCCAGCGATCCAGGCATCAAAGACACGGTTATGGACAGAGTTTGGAAGAAAGCGTCATTCTCTCCTCTCTGGAGGATTTGTGCTACAATCAGTTCGGACTTCAAAGCCCGACCAGGAGTTTGTCATGGAGGAAACATGCAGGCGACACTACGGCCTTATGCAGACAGCAAACGGAGCACCCGAAAACTTTGTACGATGGACATTGGACAGCACAAGTGTATCAATGCACCCGAGTAAGGCTTTGACATGGTCACTGGAGCTCAGTACCATTCTGACCCTTTCACAACGGGTAAAAAGAGCGCCAGGAGATGCTCACCCTTAACGTCCCCAGAGCCGAAGACCGTGACTTCGTTCTCAACAGGGGGGCCCAGCGCGCCGAGACCTGGCAGGGCGTAGCCCGCAAAAGCGTTGGCCCAGACGATTGTGTACGGGATGCCTGAGGCGCGCAGCGCGGGGAGCACCGCCTTCTTGACGTTCCACAGCGTAGCCAGCTCCCCGAAAGCCTGGATGGTCTTCTCACTGCAGATTGGGTGGAGACGTCAGCGTCAGACGAACAAGCGGCAAGGAATCTTTGCTCAACTGTGCTTCAGAGTTGCACTTATTCTCACTCTGTAAGTACATATTTTCAAAGTTGGCCGCCACAGGAGCTCAAGTTCAGGCAAAAGGATGGACGACGAAGGGGGCAGCTCGATAGTGAATCAGAAAAGCCAGGACAGGTATCCTGCAGGTCTGTGCGTCTGGAGCACTGGGAGGAGGCTACAGAATTCCCACAAGATACATCTAGGCATCCTTCTACGACCAGAAGCTTTGAGCGCTTAATGTCGCAGATTACCTGGGGTCAAGGCCAAATTCGGACGGCAGGATACGTGTGATGGTTCCGGCCTCCTTGGCGGCGTCAATGATCTTGGTCTGGTCCGCCAGCTGGGCAAAGCCGACAGTGGAGATGACCACTGACACCTGCTTCAGCGCCGCAACTAGGCTGGCGTGGTCGTACAGGTCTCCCTGGAAGCAAATGGGGGCTCAAGGCTCAGTACTACGCTTCACTGGTGGTTTCAAAGATAAATCTCTCACTCTGCTTCACTCAGAATTCAACCAGCTGCACCCTGTAACTGGCTGGAAAATTTGCATATGTGCAAGGACCAAGCTCAGTGTAAGCGCAACCCCTTTTCCATCATCTAATCTGCTGAAGTGTATGCACCAGGTTGGCACCACCTTTTGGAAGCCCAGCGGCAGACTGACTTGCAACTTAGATCAAAACCGCCAGTCCGCAATAACCACATAGTTCAGCTTGGCTCGAAGTATTATACAGCCATCACCTATTCAAGTCCACAATCTGGACCGAAAGGAGATCGCCTCATGCCGGTTCAGCTGCAAGCAGCAGGCTTCCAAGCTCAAAAACTGTGCACCACCACCATAGTCAATTCCTTCTTATTGCAGATTGTGGCTGCCGAAAAGGGAGCGAAAAGCAGCGCCTCCCAGCGATATACAAGCAATGCTGCAACAATGTTGAGCTCACTTGGCTTGAGACGGACCCCTCATCTCACCTCCAGAAACTGGACGCCCGCGCTGCGCAGCTGGTCCAGCACCTCCTTCCTCTCCGGCTTGCCAGCTGTCGCCTTGCTGATGAGGGCATATGCTGCAGCTTCAGGCGCCGCTGCGGCTGCCAGGGCAATGTGGCGCCCAATGTAGCCAGTGGCGCCGATGATGAGGATGCTAGTGGGAGCCATCTTGCTGACTGGGAAGCGGGTGAGAGGCTTGATTGAGCTGACTCGTGACAGCGGAAGCTGGAATGTTGAGTTTGTGAATTGTCCAAGGGCGAATGCACTTTTAGAATGCTCTCAACGGAATGGGTTCCAGGATTATATACGGCAGATTGATCTGGAGGAAAGACCATCTTCTTAGCACCTCCTTCGACTCCTCCTTGGCGCAGTATTGCAACTCCTACCGCCATTCTGGTCAGCTGCAAATTCTACGGCTGAGGCCAGCAGTGGCACATATTATTATTAGTTGCTGGCAGCATTGCGCCCTTCTCTGTACTGTTCAGCATGGCCGCTTCTCTGGCCGCCTGCACTTTCCCTTTCTCCAGTCCGTGTGCACACACACACGAGCCCGGTATAAA